AAGTTACGAAGGGCCCTTCACTGTAGTGCGGTAGGCAAAATTGAGGGGCCTTGTCCCCCGTGGCGGCCTATGTCTAAAGAAACGGTAAGAGCGCTTATAATTTATACGCGCTTTAACCTAGGTCGCCCCCCCCCCCTTTCCCCCGTGTTAACACACACGACCGACAATTTGATCATGCGGCGTTATTGAAAGTTACGAAGGGCCCTTCACTGTAGTGCGGTAGGCAAAAGTGAGGGGCCCCGTCCCCCGTGGCGGCCTATGTCTAAAGAAAGGGTAAGAGCGCTTATAATTTATACGCGCTTTAACCTAAGTCCCGCCCCCCATTCCACCGTGTTAACACACACGGCCGACAATTCGATCATGCGGCATTATAGAAAGTTACCAAGGGCCCTTCACTGTAGTGCGGTAGGCAAAATTGAGGAACCTTGTCCCCCGTGGCGGCCTATGTCTAAAGAAACGATAAGAGCGCTTATAATTTATACGCGCTTTGACCAAAGTCCCCCCCCCCCCTTTCCACCGTGTTAACACACACGGCCGACAATTCGATCATGCGGCATTATTGGAAGTTACGAAGGGCCCTTCACTGTAGTGCGGTAGGCAAAATTGAGGGGCCTTGTCCCCCGTGGCGGCCTATGTCTAAAGAAACGGTAAGAGCGCTTATAATTTATACGCACTTTAACCTAAGTCCCCCCCCCCCCTTTCCCCTGTGTTAACACACACGACCGACAATTTGATCATGCGGCGTTATTGAAAGTTACGAAGGGCCCTTCACTGTAGTGCGGTAGGCAAAAGTGAGGGGTCCCGTCCCCGGTGCGGCCTATGTCTAAAGAAACGGTAAGAGCGCTTATAATTTATACGCGCTTTAACCTAAGTCCCCCCCCCCTTTACCCCGTGTTAACACACATGACTGACAATTTGATCATGCGGCGTTATTGAAAGTTACGAAGAACCCTTCACTGTAGTGCGGTAGGCAAAAGTGAGGGGCCCCGTCCCCCGGTGCGGCCTATGTCTAAAGAAACGGTAAGAGCGCTTATAATTTATACGCGCTTTGACCTAAGTTCCCCCCCTTTCCACCGTGTTAACACACACGGCCGACAATTCGATCATGCGGCATTACTGAAAGTTACGAAGGGCCCTTCACTGTAGTGCGGTAGGCAAAAAAAAGGGGCCCCGCCCCCGGTGCGGCCTATGTCTAAAGAAACGGTAAGAGCGCTTATAATTTATACGCGCTTTAACCTAAGTCCCCCCCCCCGTTTCCCCCGTGTTAACACACACGGCCGACAATTTGATCATGCGGCATTATTGAAAGTTACGAAGGGCCCTTCACTGTAGTGCGGTAGGCAAAAGTGAGGGGCCTTGTCCCCCGTGGCGGCCTATGTCTAAAGAAACGGTAAGAGCGCTTATAATTTATACGCGCTTTAACCTAAGTCCCCCCCCCCCCTTTCCACCGTCTTAACACACACGGCCGACAATTCGATCATGCGGCAATATTGAAAGTTATGAAGGGCCCTTCAGTGTAGTGCGGTAGGCAAAAGTGAGGGGCCCCGTCCCCGGTGCGGCCTATGTCTAAAGAAACGGTAAGAGCGCTTATAATTTATACGCGCTTTAACCTAAGTCCCCCCCCCCTTTCCCCCGTGTTAACACACACGGCCCACAATTTGATCATGCGGCATTATTGAAAGTTACGAAGGGCCCTTCACTGTAGTGCGGTAGGCAAAAGTGAGGGGCCCCGTCCCCCGGTGCGGCCTATATCTAAAGAAACGGTAAGAGCGCTTATAATTTATACGCGCTTTAACCTAAGTCCCCCCCTCCCTTTCCCCCGTGTTAACACGCACGGCCGACAATTCGATCATGCGGCATTATTGAAAGTTACGAAGGGCCCTTCAGTGTAGTGCGGTAGGCAAAAGTGAGGGGCCCCGTCCCCCGGTGCGGCCTATGTCTAAAGAAGCGGTAAGAGCGCTTATAATTTATACGCGCTTTAAACTAAGTCCCCCCCTTTCCCCCATGTTAACACACACGGCCGACAATTCGATCATGCGGCATTATTGAAAGTTATGAAGGGCTCTTCAGTGTAGTGCGGTAGGCAAAAATGAGGTGCCCCGTCCCCCGGTGCGGCCTATGTCTAAAGAAACGGTAAGAGCGTTTATAATTTATACGCGCTTTGACCTAAGTCCGCCCCCTTTCCCTCCCCTTACAAAAATGATCAATGAGTTTGAATTCAGTTTCTATTCAATTCAATGACTTTCAATTGAAACTCGTTTCATATATTTGTAAGGGTCGTGTTAACACACACGGCCGACAATTCGATCATGCGGCATTATTGAAAGTTACGAAGGGCTCTTCAGTGTAGTGCGGTAGGCAAAAGTGAGGGGCCCCGTCCCCCGGTGCGGCCTATGTCTAAAGAAACGGTAAGAGCGCTTATAATTTATACGCGCTTTAACCTAAGTCCCCCCCCCTTTTCCCCGTGTTAACACACACGGCCGACAATCCGATCATGCGGCATTATTGAAAGTTACGAATAGCTCTTCAGTGTAGTGCGGTAGGCAAAAGTGAGGGGCCCCGTCCCCCGGTGCGGCCTATGTCTAAAGAAACGGTAAGAGCGCTTATAATTTATACGCGCTTTAACCTAAGTCCCCCCCCCCCCTTTCCCCCGTGTTAATACACACGGCCGACAATTCGATCATGCGGCATTATTGAAAGTTACGAAGGGCTCTTCAGTGTAGTGCGGTAGGCAAAAATGACGTGCCCCGTCCCCCGGTGCGGCCTATGTCTAAAGAAACGGTAAGAGCGCTTATAATTTATACGCGCTTTAACCTAAGTACCCCCCCCCCCCCTTTTCTCCTTGTTAACACACACGGCCGACAATATAGAAGAAATGGAGGATTACTGACATCTATTAAGCTCACAGTGATTACGCCCATGCAATTTCCATTAAAGCCAAGAAAGACGCTAAGCTGTGCGGCCAATATTTCAACGAGCTGAAATCCTGCCGTCAGCGTCCTTGTTTTTCAAAGACAATCACTCCATCACGTCCCCCAAAGACATAGCACAACTCCTAGATTCTCAGTTCTCTTCTATTTTCTGCTCTATTTCTCCTGTTCTAGATGGTGACCTTCTAGTCCAGCATATTAAAGTTTTCTTCTCCCACCCTGGCACTTTCCTCCCAAGCGTACGCCTGTCTGTTGATGATCTGCATGAACTGCCCGTCTGATTCGTCCCTCTCAGTGTGCAGGGCCGGATGAACTCGGCCCTGCTTTCATTAAGTCTCTCTACCCTTACTTATCTTTCTCTATGCTCTCCCTTTTCCAATCTTTGCTCGACCACTCCTATGTGCCTCCTTCCTATACGAAGGTCCTCGTGACACCTGTCCACAACGGTAAGTGGAAACGCCTGAATGGTCCTTCCATCTACAGGCCCATCTCCATCACGTCTATCCTCTGCCGCACATTCGAAACAACCAACAACCAGCAACTCCTCCGTTTCTTGAATGACAACAGCCTCATCTCTAATTTCCAACACGGATTCAGACCTAATCGAAGTTGCGAGACGGCACTCGCAACGGTAGTGCACCACGTCAGCAACAATCTGGACGACCGCAGCCTGATTGACATCATCCAACTCGATTTGTGCAGTGTATTCGACTCCCTTGACCAATTTATCCTCCTTCAGAAAATCGCACTATCAGGTTTTCCGCGGTTCCCGACTACTCTGGCTGGGCCGTTTTGTTATCGGTCGTTCCCACCGTGTATTGTCAGAGACTTGGTCGTGTATTGTTTCACGGCCAAGTCTCTGAAGAGTTTGCAATAACCTCTGGAGCGCCCCCGGGCTCGGTTTTGGAGCCAGCTATCTTCCTCTTGTACGCAAACGGCATGCCCACATCTCCAGAGTGTCTTCTCCTTCAGTATGCAAATGACGTCACCATACTTGTCCTAGTTCTGTCGCTCCCATTTGTGTTGGCTGCCCAGGGTCTCCTTGACAAGATTGTCTGTTGGGCAAGGACAATCTACCTTTCTATTGGCCTCGAAAAAAGCACCGCGATGCGGATCACCAATTGTCATTCCACTGACAACCCACTGACAACCAAGGCCAAGTGTCCAGTCCCTCCCTATCCAAGGGGTCGTCTCCACTTCCACACTTGACTTTTCAACCCATAACGCTTACACTGTATCCAAAGCCCGCCGGACTTTGAGTTTTGTTACTCGGGTTTCTAAGAATTTGGGACCTGAAACGTCTTGTGCTTTCTACACCGACCTAGTCCTACACAGGCTGGAAAAATTGTTGTTCAGTATGGAGCTCTTACCAGGCTCACCTCATTGACAGACTTGAAGGTGTGCAGCGCCGAGCCACCCGAACTCTCCACTGTAGGACCCTGGGTTGTCAAGTGTCTGTGCTGCCATTCGAGGCTCGCCTCAGAGCCTTTAGGTAGCAGAGCCTCCACCACCGCCCGGCAGTGGCAAGGGTTGGGCTCCTCTGCCGGTTGCTTGACAGGTCTATGGAAAGCGCGCACCTCCTTAAGAATCGGGAAGCGTTCCGGACAACCAAAGCAGCACCACGGCCGAACTGTACGCCACTCCTGTTCTGTGCTCCTCACCGCCCTCAGAGACTTTCTTGCGGCCCCTCTGTCGGTTCACTCTCCGCTTCGTACCAACCGGGCAGAATCGGCGGCCCTACGCCGGGCGTTCTAGCGCTCATACCACATTTAGTAACTCGCCAAATGTAACCGATGTATAATTTTGCGTCTGAATTTGTCATGCTATGTTGTTATGTTATTATACCCCGCACCGGTGGCAGGCTAACAGGCGCAGCAGCGCACGGGCTCTCGCCTTTCGGTCCTAGCGTCGGAGGCCACCTGGGGTAACACTTCCCCGGCATATTAAGATTAATATGATTATTAATATTATCAGTCCATGTGTTCTAAAAAATTCCGTGCACATGCACACAGCCATTGTTGGCTTGCACAAGACAATGCTTCCTTCATCTTTTTTTTTTTTTTTTCGCAGGTGATCATCACACCACACATGTCTGGCCCATTACATCCGCCTGAGGTGAGGAGTATCAAGTTTCTGATCGGGAACCTTAACCTCGGTCGTTAAAGGGGCCCTGCAATCCTATTTAAGCATCTACCTTTTTTGCGGTTTCCACATCTCTTGTGGTTCGGGTAACCCAGCGGGCACGGAGAGTGTAACTAAATATTAGTGCGTCATATTTTAACCGGACGACGCGGAAGCCTTTTACATCTTCGGGGGCGCCCTGTGGTACTGAATGCGCGTGGCATGTGAATACATCGTGAGGTTGTTGGTCTTGACCAGACCCTGCCTTACGAGTGGGCAGAGCCGCTAAGAACTTTTTTTTAGCCGAAATAAAAATAATATAAGTGGGGGCGAACTGTTTCGATTACTTATGAAAGTAGTTTTTTTCAGTCTTCTAGATCAGAAAAGAAGTAAGTGCAGTTTATAAAATACGGAATCAAGATATGACCCGTCGACATACCCGCCACCAATCGCTGGAAAAGGGGTAGTGGGATCAGGCGCCGACGCGTAAAGGCCCCGGATGTACGCGGCGGCGCTAGGTTCATATAGACCTTTGCAAAAAGAGCGCTCTGGCCGCCGCCATTTTGCCAATCGAGCGACCCCTATCAGCCAGAAGTTTCTGGCACCCGCCTGAGCTGTGGAAACCCGGTCAGCGTGACTCCCCACCTGCATTTTGCATTCGGAGTTTGGCGGCGTTTTTTGGAAGTTTTTATTTTATTCGCCTGTTTAGGATGCTTACCCTTTGTATGTTATCTTCCACTGTGAGAACCAGGGAATACCAGGGCTCGTAGCCCGCTCGGCCTTCGCAGGAAACGAACGAAGAAAGCGAACGTCAAGCAGCCCGCGACGCAGGCAGTTCGACGTTCTTTGAGGATTATTTCCGTCGAGATAATCACCAAAAAGCCTTCCAGGCTGCGTTCCAGGTCTTCTCAAAAACTAGCTGATAGGGTCGGGTCCGGGGTGTGGGGACGGACTAAGCACGTTCGTTCATTTGCTTTGAAGCTGTGCAAAAAAGGAGCTCTCTTCTACATGTTCCCCCAAACACGCCGGATTCCGTCCGATCGTCGTGAAGTGACTATCGTCGACACTGTATATTAAGATATGCTATGTTATTTGAGACCTCTCTAAAATCCTTTTCGGATAACGCGGCACCGTGGGGTACGTACAATATATTTCTTGTTCGATTGATGAGACTCGTTGAATTTTATGTTGTGGACGGGGAATATTCATGCAGTACGGATATCGTGTGTGGTCAAATATTTTGACCTTTATAGATTTACACGGCTGAGTGTACGGTGCCGTAAAACAATGAGCATAAAATTAAACAAACATTCCAGTTGTAATTGTTCTGTCGCGCACGGACTCACCAAAACAGCTTTCATTTCTTTGTTTTTGTTCTCCAAAATAGAGCACTGCTTTCTTAAAGACTTCTATAAATAATGTTCGCCACAGAACACAAGATAAAAAAGAAAACGCGGCAATTCAGCGGCCACCAGCGTCTGGAATTGCGCCTACGCAGGCTGCCACAGCCCACTGATGAGAAACTCCACAGCTCAGCGCAGTCCGGCAACACTGACGTACACTCTCAAAACCAGGTACACGCGCTGTAAATCGCTTCGTTTGAGACTGCCGCTGGAAAGGTCTATATAGGCTAGAGGATACGACCGGTTCCGAGCGTTTCAAAAGCCTTTGGCGAGCGTGTTTGGCTTGCGGTTTGGCCGTTTGGCTGTTTGGCAGCGCGAAGTGGCTCCGTTCTAAACTGATATTTACTCGGTGTTTGCTATCGTTTGTGGGCAACCAAGTGTCATGCCGAATCAGTGTGTTGTCGCGCAGCAAATGCAATGCGAGTCGCCCTGGCCGCCCACTTCATCGAGCTTATCCAGCACATGCTTTAGTGGCGCCCTCTTGAGCCGTCGACACGGAGTGCGGCAGCCGTGGGCGCTCGCTGAGCTCACTACCCCTCCTCTTGTTAACGGCCACCCAAGCCAGGACCAAGGACGTCATGAAGGAGGTTATGTTTTGCTGGTTTTTGCAACTTTAATTTGCCTATAACTTGTAAAATAAAGTGAAATTTGAGAAAGTGAAAGTTCCCTAAGTTACTACGTTCAGTTCGCTCAGGTTCGGTGCAGATTAAGAACCAGGCAAAAAGTCATTGCCCTTTAAGGCTTGTTTTTATACTCGTTTATACGATGTACTTCAACGATCGTTAGGACTCACGAGCTGTGTTAGCCAATACAGCTTTTCATGGATTCCACGAGTAGTTTTAGCCAATACAGCTCTTCACGGATTCCACCGAAACACTTCCGCTGCTTCTTTTTTATGGATCTCTTCGCTCAAGCTTTCTGGGTCGCCTTTGGCCTTTGAGGAATATCTTCAGGCTTTAGGCAAATCCGCGTGGTCTCTTCGCATTGTTCTTGACACCTGCAAAGCTCCTTTGGCTTGATCCAATCGCCAGACTCTGTCACTCCTCGCCACTATCGTCATCAAAGCCTCGCCACTTTCATCACCTTAATTCTATCAGATATAAGAAGCTCCTCGAGATCCTCGAGTGGTTTCACTTTCCTAGTTTCCAGATATTCGTCGAGAAGCATCGATCCTGTCTCAAACGCACGCGGGACACCATACTTTGTCCAGTAGTTTGTCGGCTTTTCCGAACAGCTCGCGGAGCACGTTTGGATACAAAGTTACAAACCCCGTATTCATATATGTGCCGCTTCAGCTCCCCGAACGAACATAGGCCCTGCGTCATGAGCCTCGTGGCCTCCGCCGTGCAATTGTACAACAAAAACTGCAAGACTAGTGCTTCTCGAACGCTATTTTGGAAAATAGATTTAACATTGTCAAACCACGGAGGCAATTTCGCCTCCGCTTGTGGTATCTCGGGTATTACACCACGCAATCATTTTAAGAGTCGTAGCACGTCGTCCAACTCCGTGTCCACACCAGAGTTCTGCTGCACCGCCATCACGGTTTCAACGCACAGCTCCTTCACGGGGAACTAAGCTTGACGGTGCAGTAGCCACATCAAACAGTTCCAAATTTCTGCTCAGGCCCTCGCCAACTCCAAGCTGTCTTTCCGGTCTCCCGCCTGAACAAAGGTGCCTAAACGCCCGGCCTGAGTCCACGTCGGTCGCCGCGAAGGCCGCCCGCTGCCGCCCGACGACCTTCAGACGATGTTTTGCCGTGTCGTTCGTCGCGTAGATGCTTCCCGGGCAATCAGAAAGACGCACCGCCTGTATCCTCCGACGCTCACAGCTGAGGGGTCCCAGCTTCTCGGCTCCGCTGCTCCTAAGGTGGCCTCCGCCGCCCTCCGTCCGCCTGCTCGTCATCACCGAGCCCCCCGCCAAACTTTTCGACTGCACCAGTAAGGTTCTTGACGTGGTGCGAAGAGGCGTCGGATGTTGAAAATCCTTGCCCTCCTATCTCGTCTGGTGACTTCGACGGCGAGGCTTTTATAACGACAAAGACTTTGTTGAACGTATCTACATTTATTTACTCTAAAATGGCTGACGACAGTGCCTGCGACCGCACTTTGAAACCTCTCCTACCCAACTCCCCGGTCCCCTGCCACGGGGTTCTGACTCCGTCCCCAAGGGGACACGTTCCTTCCACGCGGCGGCGCCGCGCGTGCTCCCCTAGAAGGCCACAACTGCCACCCTTCTCTTTGGTGAGGGGGACAGCTGGTCCACCTCCGAGGAGTGCCCAAAAAACAAAAAACAACCTCCACGAAAAAAAAAAAAAATAAAAAAAATAAAAACGGCTTTCCTCTTTTACACTTGGCTTCAGGCTTTTTTGTCGCTCCGCACAATCGAGTGGTCACGTGACGCATTCCGTCCGAGCTATAGATTGGCTCCGATTGCTGATGTCATCCGCTACAGTGCATTACAAGGTGACTGACTCAGTATATATATATATATATATATATATATATATATATATATATATATCGTTAAAAAATACCAAAGCACATTATTATTATACTACCTTACAAAATTTTTCGAAATTCTTTATATCAGTCCTTCCACGTTGTGGGAACCACGTGTTTCCCGGATCCCTGTCTAGGCCAAGCTTAGGCAGGCCATGGGGCGCCGCCATATAAAGGCGTTTCCCGTATACGAGGCGAGGCCGCATCCGGGGGACACCTTTATCATCCGGGAAACGCCTAAAGAGCGAAGGAGAGCTTCGAGGACGGCTCTCCCTCGCTCTTCTCGGGTTATCTGCCGAAGGCACACCCCTCGGGATCTTGATACTTGGACGCGTCCGCCCTCCGGGGTGCCAAACTTCATCCGATCACTCCATGTGCGTCCATTCCCGCAGGCTGCTTAAACGGCAAAATCCAACGGCCAGGAAGCGACTCTCCCTGGGGGTGACTCTGCTTGACCGAGCCGTCCTTTCTTTTACTAATCCTTTCCCTGCCTGATACTGTGAATAGCGGCAGCGTGGACTCCGCTTTCGATCCTCTCAAAAGAGACAGCGCCGTTATCTCGGACATTGTTGGCCCTCGGGCATACGTGCGGCGTTATCGTCAATAAACACGTCGTTATCCGGACCAAAGGAACCTTGTGTGATTCTAACTAGTATCCCCAAAGGGGAATACCACAACGTATGTTTTAAGTTCTTTGTGCTCGTGAGTTACAGTCTACATCTGACTTGTGGGAGACAAAAGCTCCATTGATGAGAGGTATTCACCGAGCTTCTTTTGACCATCATCAAACTTCCTGGTCCGCCGTCTAAAATATCTTGCTCAAGGTTTTGGGACAAGAGGAGGGGACATTAAAAGCGCAATGATCCTAATTTCAAGTAGAGGCTATTAAAGTTAGACTAATACGAATTTCAAACTAATGAAAGGCAGACAAAATGGCAGAATTCTGCGCCTAAGGGAGCGGGGAACTCCGGAAACTGACAACCTTGTTTGTAAAAAAACTGTCATCACCTCGTGCTTCATATCTTGGAAGGCGATTTGCATCAGCACTCGTTCAAGTGTTCGGACGTAGCGGAAGGCGTCTTTCTCCTCTTTGGAACTGAAGAAGAGGCGCGCAACATTAAGCGCCTTCGTAACCTGGAATGCGCTTGGCCGGGCTGGCGTTTCCACGTCTTCCTCGTCGGGTTTGTCTTCCACGGTGGGTTTTTTACCGACAATCTGCATGCGCGACGATGTCCTCGTCTGTCGGGGCGTAGCACATTAGCGTACTGCTGCCCGCGTGGACATAATCGGCAAAATTGACGTCTTGCAGCACCTCGAGAACATTCCCAAAAACGACCACATGCTGTCTGGGGTCGCTCGTCACCTCCGTACTTGCAATACTAAAGCCACATTGATGAAAACAGTTAGGAATTTCCGCCCTTAACTCGATCCCAAGCACGCAACAGTACATGCATCGCGTTGAGGAGTGTCGCAATCTACAGTCGCTCTGGCTCCTCGTGTACAAAATTGCCGTTTCAGCACGCGGTACGTATAAACGATTTCTTATTCTTTATGACAGCCTGGTCCGTCATTTGTAGAACTGTAGTCGTGTTTGGTGGAATGAAGGCTTAATTTATTAAGCTTCAGCTCTACGTCGACCTTGCGAGCTGAGCAATTGTCCACAATGAGCGGGACCCTTCGATAGCTGAATTCAAACTTCCTGTCCAACTGCCTGAGCTACCGCGCGAAAAAACTCGCCGGCCATCAATGCTTTGCAGTTAGCTGCGCAGTCAGTTGGCTTCGGCGATTTTTCTTTTACGAGGAGGGGGAACTTCTACGTTCCTGTTGCGTCTGCCGCAACCATGACGGTGATGCACTCTTTGCTTTGCTTGCCCCCTGCACGGATGACCCTTGTATGTGACTGTTTTGTCAGGCAAGAGCTTGAAAGACGAAGCAGCCTCGTCGGCACTAAAGATGTCACGTGGCAAGTAGCTAGCCAGGTAGTCGTGTAGGGTTCCACTTGTTTACATCAGGCACGCTTCCACGTTCACGTCTTTACTTTCTTTAGACACCCGACGAAAGACCAAATTGTGCCTGCCTTTCGCGGAAGCGATGAAACCGCCCTTCGGAAGTGGCAATATCGTGGTTGTTCAGACTTGGAGCGAAACTGGCAGCCTTTGCCATGATAATGGGGCCAATGAATTGGAGGTCCCAGCTTCTGGTGTCTTCAATCCGCGTGATGTGTGCTCTCTTCAAGTCCGGGTGCTTGGCAGATCGAGGTTTTTTTTTTTTTTGTCGGAAGCTTCAGCTTTGTGGGCATCCTCAATTGTCCTCTCGTTTGGAATGTAGTTTGGCAACAGGTTTTTGGGGATCTCATACTTATTTGCTATCTGAAACTCGCACGCTTTCCCAGTATCGAGTTTGCGCAGAATTTCTACTTTTTCTTTCGACTTGGCACGTTATTTGCGATTGTTTGCACATGACGTCAATCCGCCATTTTGTTCTTAGCTTGTGTTTTCAAACAAATTTACTACATTGAAAGATTACATCGTAACCGGTTGAGATGATGTCAGCTTGGTAAGACATAAGCTTCTGTGATCTACGCATTTGAGGGGGCATGCAAATCCTTGGAATGCTCGAGTTTGGCACACACCAGACAGCTCACAACAACAAAATGGTGGACGAAATTACGTCAGTGAAAACACCCTATACCAAAAGGTATCGCAGCGCGTAGTCGAATCTTGATGTGGCTTGTACAAATATTGCCCGTACCCACACACAAATCGGAGATTCGAAGAAGAAAGGAAACGATAACAAGATGACAAAAAAAGCTTGATAGACTTGATGGTTGCGCCATCTATGACTCGGTTGGGAAAGCTGCCACCGGAAGTTCACTATGTCGACACATGGCGGCGCCGTAAGGCAGCGCGCAGTTTTAATTATCGGTGGCCAAGCTATTTCGGGAACGAGCTGTTAAATTTTCTTTTAGTGTATAGCAGACCTTCGCGCTCCTTTGTCGGACCATGACAGTTCGTTCGAACTATACAAACATTTTTATTAATGAGTTCTGAACAAGCTTTTACTGTTGAAAAACTATTTACCAAAATAACCGCAAAATGCTTTAGTGCAAAAAAAGGGAAGCCGCAAATACTATTACATCAAATTGTCATTCTCAAATGTAATACGATATGTACTAGCATGGTTTTGGTATGTTTAACTCACTCTTTCAGCTAGGTCTTAGGCATTGACAAGTAAATAAGGGTTTAATTAACTACTGAACCAATGAGTAAATAGGCATGCTTGAAGGTCAAGAATTGGAATACAAATATAACATTTATATTGTACTAACTAGATTATCTTGACCTCCCGTAGTTTTATAACTTATGTGCATGTCGAATCTTGTGTGCATTTTTTGTGGTCATGGTTTTTAGTCTCTTAACTATTGATGGCCCAGGATATTTTGTCCCTGATAGTTTACTCCCAGGAGAAGTGGTCCGAATTGCCAGTGCAGACAAAACAGTCCTGTTAGTCTTTGTGCCTAAATTGTTTTAGTTTTGTGTGGTTTGCACACATAAACAACTGGGGGCATTAGCAAAAGCTGTGGAGGGGTAAAATCTCATGTTCGTGCTGCCATCTTATATAAATGTCTATAATCTTAGTTTTGTGTAAGCAAATGCTACAGGTTTTCTGGCAAGGAATGTCTGCACAATTTGTTTTCAAATAAAGGCCTTCTTTGAATTGTAGCTTCTTTGAATTGCCAGTGGGGAGTGCCCTCCGCACCTATTAGAAGTACGTCTTGAAGGGAAGAAGAAGTGATAATGTGAGCGCCACAGCAATTGGTGCCCTTCGCACCAAATTGCATGGAATAATTTGACTCGGGCCAAATCATCCTAAACTGAAACTTTAAGGGTTTCTGAAAAAAGACAGCATTGCGATTTAAAGACACTATTTTATAAAAAATTAGTAATCTTAGAGCCACCATTTTATGTATTGTGATATGCATTACATACATCTCAAACAACCATATTCTTTACAGATTGTCAAGAGCTTCATGCAGAATTTTGAGAACTTCACAAGAGGAGATCCACTGTTCCATACGTTCTCCTACACATCTGATTATTAATCTCAATGCTTTATGCAGTATCTCAGTAAAATGTTGAACAAACACTTTCCCTTTATATGGACAGTTCTAGCAAACACTTTACTAGGGGGAATATACGACACTCTCCTGATTTTCATTAGACAAAATGACGGCCACGCCGAATCCTCCGCTGATGGAGTGGTTTATTTGGTGACGCTTCCCCTCCTTCCCTTTCTCACCGCAAGAGCATATGACCAGGCCACCCCCCAGAATGGCGTCGCTGCTGCCATCAGAAGTGTTTCCACGGTTCTTCGTTGTCGTCCTTTTTTATGTATTCTCGGAGAGTGTTTTCTATACCTTCTAGTAAAATATTTGGTTCTAGTTGAGACATGTGGGAGTTGAAATGAGGGCATTGTTTTTGTTTGATCCAACTTTAAAAGCTGAGCTTGCTTTCTTCAAATCCCAATCGACAGAGAGGGATTTAAAGTCTTAAGATTTTTGTAAATATATTTTTTAAATGGTGCAAAATTGTGTAATATTTCTTAAACTTTTGTTGTCATGTGGGATGTAGAGAGATTTTATAAGTAACAGGTCATCATTTAGGGGAACAGCTTTGCCATTAAGAGGGTGTAGCAAAGTGTAACTCATTACAAGCAAGTAAATTACTGTAACTACAAGCTTGAGCAACTTTTTTCATCTTTTTTTTTTGTCCCTCTCAAATGCCATAATGTATGGTACGATGTACCGAAAAGATCTGAAGAACATCACCCTTTCATTTTTTTAATATTTAGGATGTACCCAAAAACTTTGACATGTATATAACTTCAGACACCTTGCAGTACTCTCGGTCACATGCTTTTCTCAGTGGTGTTTGTCCAGTGGTCCTGAGGAGAAGCCACATTGCGTTTGTTTCGTCCTTGGACAATTAACAAAGGAGGACTTATTGTCAACGTCCATCCAGGACTATATACAATGATAAGTGCTCTTAGGTAGTAAGTTCTACATGTAAAAAAATGTTAGAACAGCAGCAGATACTTTATTAGACAAGGCTTTCGGGTAGAGTCTCTCCACTACTGCGTTTCTCGGTCACGGCAGAATGCAGTATAAGTTTGTAATTCAGGCAATACCTTATGGGAGTTTTACGGGGAGGGGTTTTGCATCAGGCGAAGCCATGATGCTGAAGATTTTATGTAAATATTTCTTATAATTATGGTGATATCATCATGTATGTCTCTAAATATTATTTTAGGCACAAGTTTTGGGAGCTGGGAATATTACGAAAATTGAGTTCCGATCAATCACGAAATTGAGAGGAATAAAAATAAATAAAACAAAATAAAGAAAATAAAAAAACGTATGAGTTTAGACAAAAAAAAAAAAAAAGAGCTACAAAAACCTAGGGCTCTATATAACCAATGCATATATTTTGTAACTCGAATTGTTTTACTGTTTTTGGATCGAGCAACTTTTAACCAATCCGAAAGGCAGATATGGTGTCGATTGCTGTTCGAAGCAGAACCGTCTTAAAAAGATTGTGCCGTTTCAATACGTAGTCTGGGAAGAAGTTTTATTTTGTTGTTTAGGATTGAATTTTTTTGTTAAGTTGGCAAATACCTAGTGAGATTTTCCCCTGTTGAGATATTCTCTCATAAAGGGTCATCTCAGCTGAAGGAAATGCCCCTGTTGATTTGGACACAGAGCCCACATAATTTAAAACAAAACTTTTTTTTTTTTAGTTTTCCTTTTTAAATTAGTGTTTGCTTTCTGTCGGCCTCTAGAAACTAGAACAAAAGCAGCTCGCTTCCAGTTAGTGAAAAAGGTGTGTCTGCATTTTTTTTTTTCGCGTTCTGATTTGCTCACAAAGGACATTAAATTTCCTGATTTCTGTCTTTCACGTTTTGATTTGCTTGCAGTCGGACATTGCGTACCTGGCAAAGTTGATCTACAAAAACTCTCAACGCTCTCATCTTGTCAGAAGGGTTATTTACGTTAGTCGTGTTATAAATATTTTTGTCTAATCATTATTTGATTTAAATACAAGGGCAGATAAAAAAGCACCAAATGATAGACAAACATTAAAAAAAATGTCGTTTGAAGATCCTTTCTGCGGGAAAAGTTCGATTTAAATCACCACAATACTACCAATTCGATTAAGCCATGTTTTAAATAATGATTTATATCACGATTTAAAGCATGATGTATTTAACAATTTAAATTATTTTTATTATCTACTCTGGTGCGCGCGCGTAACTATAATCACTGCTCGAGGCGCGCCAGCGCACGAGCGCCCACAGTTTTGACCACATTGCCTCACCCAGAGGTCATGAAACTGCGCATCTAAAAACAAAACAAAAAATATCAACTAAAGGACATGACATTCATGTCACACCGTGGTTCATGTCGATGATCATGTGTTTAGTTTCATTACTGTTGCGGAAGCCGAAGCTATACGTTGATACAGCTTAAAAATATCTTGAAAAAAAATTAGGCAGTCTGCTAGGAACACGTGTGTCAAGAATTCTACGCAAAAAAAGAGCAATATTGACGGTGAGAGATTTATTTGAAATTCTGCGCGCGAAGTTCATGACGTCACGGAATGGTCATTCGCTCTTTTCACCTCAACACGAAAGTGAAGCCGATCCACCTCTGCCAAAGCCACCTAGAGGAGAAAAGCCTGTGGGCTCCGGCAATCACGTGTGTGTACGTCACAGCTACTGGGCCTACGTCAAGTAGCTGTACTTGGTTCGGCATTTGGAGCCGGCTTGCTTTGGCGTGTTTCCAAAACGTTTCACGATGAAGGACTGATGGAAGCAGCTTGTTTCGACGTGTTCAAAGACGCTTAGTTTTTGTTTCCGTACTTTTCTTTGTTCGTCTTGTTTCAAACGTGGCACAACTTGTCAGTGTTTTGCGTATTTTGCTCGATGATCAAGTGCTGTTTTCGTCATGCCTGACACATGCTGTGTGCCTTGCACACTAAAACTTTCAACACCCATGTTCGTGTTAAAAGGGTGTTTTTCCGAGCTCACACCCTTCCTACACCATTTTTACATGATTTTTGAATATTCAAGGGTGTACGGAAAGGCCTACACCCTTCGTACATCCTTTTTACACCCTACGGCTACCGAAATCGTGTTAAGAGGGTGTTGCGGTGGTACACCCATGATTTCCGAATCGTCGAACTCGGAAACCGCCGAATTGCAGACATACGCGCCGACAGCAGAAGTCAAGAAGCAGCCTGCTCAATTTAGAGGATTTCGTGAAGTTCAAGTAAGCACAATGGGCAGCTGACATCCAAGCCAAGCCAACGCTCAAGTTGTTTTCAAGCCAGATGAATGCCGGCGTTGTGTACAAGCTCCTTGGTTGTTTACGTGCAAGCGACCACGAAAATAGCATCGGTTACTCACGCACTTCTGCTCAGAATGGTGAGACCACATCGGTTCTATTATGATACATTCCGTCTTATCCTGAGATGTACTAAAGCGAAGGCTAGACGTGCGAGACGGTTCGGGCTCACAGCTTTACTGTGAGCCTGTACCGTAAAGGTCGGTTCCGACACTTGCGTTTGAGTGTGTTTGTCTGCGTTGCGTTTAGAACCGAAAACGAGACACCGGCACATCTGTGCTTCGTATGAAGCGTGGATTCCAATTCAAAGAATCATCTTGGCACGCGATATAAGCAGCAGGGATGTCCTGGTTTCTCGCAGCCGCAACGCGGTCAAACGCAACTGTTTGAACCAGGCTTTACGTGGTTGTCCTGCGCTTGTCCCTCGCGCTTTATTCTTTCGATTTTAAGTATTCATTTTCAACTCGCTCGCTTTTAACAGTACTAGTAGATACTCGGGCTGCACGAGGGTTCGTGCAGTGCGACCATTTAGCGATGCTATGAGCTTGTGCTCGAACCTTGGCTTTAATGGGCAATCATCGGGGATATATGACACACGATGATGCCAAGTCTGTTCACGGCGGACTCTCGTGCTGTTCTGATTGGAGGAGAAGGGGCGTGTAAAAAATTGGCAAATGGAACATGGTTAGCGACAGCGCAAATATATGTTGGAAAAAGTTCAGAACATTGAAGTGCAGCAGCCTGAAACTTTGGAGTTAAGCAATTAGAGAATCATTTGAAGACATCTTTAGAGGTTCAGCCTTCTCTCCCCCCACACCAATATCGAAGGCTGCTAGGATATTGGTTCAGGCTAAGCCCTCTGTCTTTCAGTCAGCGAACTCGAGCCGTTCCACCTGACCTTGTTATTTCATAACAGATATGTTAGAAAATGGAATGCAGATTTTCTTTACACGGCCAAAACATAAAGTGTTATCAAATAATACCTGCCATATTCATATTCTACATTTACAGACCGGGGCTGCCCCGCCTGTGGAGGGTGAAGATGCGAGCAGCCTCGAAGCCCACCAAAAGTGGCTGTGTGCTGAGAGCGAAAGCTGGTGCCTGACGAAGGCCAGATTGATTTTCGAAAGGATGCGACTGCCTGCAAATGGCTACATGTGTTGACATTGATGGGCATATAGACTGCACAGAATGCTTATCCCTACCTGATGGATGCTAGGAGGGTATGCGTTCCATATTTTTTTACTGATCTCTACGACAATTGCTCAATTGCGCTTCCCCGTTCCGTGATTGCGGCTGCCGGACGACCATCTTGGGACACGGAAAATTAACCTTTTGGAGCGTTGCAGAGGCTGGCCGGCAGCGTGCTGAAGACATGTTTTTTGCTCGTTTGTCGTCATTGGGAGCGTTAAAGTGGCCCTGCAATAACTTTTTGACTGGTTTTTAATTTGGACCGAACCTGAGCGCATTGAACGTAGTAATTTAAAGAAACTTTTCTTTTCTCAAATTTCGCTTTATTTTAAAAGTTATAGGCAAATTAGACTTACAGAAACAAGCAAAAAATAACATCCTTCATGACGTCGTAGGTCCTGGTTTGAGTGGCCGTGAAGTAGTGAGCTCATTGAGCGCTCACGGCTGCCGCACTCAGTGTCAACGGCTCGAGAGGGTGCCACTAAAGCACGTGTTGACTAGGCTGTATGAAGCGGGCGGCCAGGGCAGCTCGCATTGCATTTGCCGCGCGATTAAAGACTAATTCGGCATAACACTTCATTGGCCACAAACGACGGCAAACACGGGGTAAAGATCAGTTCAGAACGGGAGCCACTTCACGCTGCCATACCGCCAAAGGGTCAAATCGCCAGCCAAGCCCGCGCCGAAAGCCTTGGGAACGCTCGGAACCGGTCGGATCCTCGAGCCAGTATACGACCGCAGCGCCACCGCGTACATCCGGGACCTTTCTAAGCCCATTGTTCGTCGGAGCCTCATCCCACTACGCCTTTCTAGTATGCGCCGTTTTTTTCACCGCTTGGTGGCGGGTTTGTCGACGGGTCTTTTCTTGTTTCCGTACTTTATAAACTGCATTTGTTTCTTTTCTGATCTAAAATACTGAACAAAAACTACTTTCATA